AAAATAAACAAGTGTTAGTGAGAATGTGGAGTATTGGAACCCTTGTGCACCACTGGTGGGAGTGTAAAATGGTACAGCCACTGCAGAAAACAGTATGGTAGTTCCTAAAAAAATTAAAAATAGGCCAGGCACGGTGGCTCATGCCTGTAATCCTAGCACTCTGGGAGGCTGAGCCGGAAGAATCACTTGAGTGCAGGAGTTTGAGCGGCAATGAGCTGTGATGACACCGTTGCACTCAGCCTGGGCAACGGAGTGAGACCCTGTCTCAAAAAAAAAAAAAATTTTTTTTAAGTAGAATTACCATGCAATCCAGCCACTCCACTTTGGGGTATAAACTCAAAATAATTGAAATCCGGGTTTCAAAGAGATATCTGTACACCCATGCTTATAGCAACATTATTCACAATAGCGAAAATGTGTAAGCAACCCAAGCGCCCATCTATGGATGAATGGATGAGCAAAATACAGTCTATACATACAGGGAAACATTATTTAGCATTAAAAGGGAAGGAAATTTTGATACATGATACAATATGGGTGAACCTTGAGGACCTTATGCTAAGTGAAATAAGACAGTCACAAAAAAACCCCAAATACTATATGATTCCACTTACATGCAGTACTTACAGCAATCGAAATCCTAGAGACAGAAAGTGGATCTGTCCGGAGAGGGGGCGAGGGGAATGGGGAGTTAGTGTTCTACGGGTATAAATAGTTTCAATTTTGCAAGATGAAAAGAGTTCTGGCGATGGATGGTGGTGATAGTTGCACAACAATGCGAGCGCAGGCCCCACTGAACCTTGTACTTACAAGTGGTTTAGGTAGTAAATGTGTGTTTTGCCACAATAAAAAAATTAGGGAAGAAGTTAATGTCACAATTTTACCAAATATTTAAGGATGAAATAATACCAATTCTACACAAACTCTTCCAGAAAACTGAAAAGGAGGAAATAATTCCCAGCTCATCCTATGAGCCCAACATTATTTTGATACCAAACCTGACAAAAACATGACAAGAAAACCACAGGCCAGTATCCCTCATGAACACAGATGCAATCATTCTAACGAAAATTTTAGCAACTTGAACCCAGCGAACAATATGTAAGAGATACACATCATGACCTGGTTTATCCCAGGAATGCAAGGTTGATTTAACACTTGAAAATCGATCTATGTAATTCACCAGATTAACAAACTTGAAAAAGGAAAACGATCTTGTCAACAGATGCAGAAAAAGCATCTGACAAAATCCAACATCCATCACTGGTAAAAACACTCAACAAAGAATAAAAGGAAACTTTCTCAATCTGATGAAAGACATCTATAAAAATTCTACAGCTCGCATCACACTCCATGGTAATGAAAGCTTTCCCCCTGAGATGGGGAAGAGGAAAAGGAGGTTTGCTCTCACCACTGCTATTCAACACCGTACGGGAAGTTCCAGCCGGTGTTGCAGAGACAGAAAAGGCAACCAGACTGGAGTGGAGGAAGTAAAGCTGTCTTCACAGATGGCAAGACCATGTATATAGAAAATCCTGTGAAAACTACTAAAAAGCTCCTAGAACTAATAAGTGAGATTAGCAAAGTTGTAGCAAAAAAAGACCAAGGTTTCAATATACAAGATCAATATGCAGAAATCAATTGTATTTCTATATATTAGCAACAAAAAATTGGAAATTGATGCTTTAAAATACCATTTACAACAATATCAAAAGTATGAACTACAGTAAATCTGACAAGAGATATGCAAGATCTATTACTGCAGAGTCCTCCAGCTTCCCCTGCTTCATCTCTGTGTCCTGAGCAGAAATGACGGAGTGCCTCGACCACTTTGTGACCCAGCCAGCTGCAGGTTTTTCCCAGCAGGCTTGAACCCACACCAGGACCTTGAACATCCCAGGCTCCGATAAAGGTATCTAAGTTGTTGCCCAAAACTCAGAAAGAAACTGGCCGTGGCCTTAAGCCAAGTTCCCTAAACCCTCACAGTAAGCCCCATCCCCTGACCCCCTCCCTGTGGACATAACCCAGGTGAAACACCCATTTTCTCTTACTGTCCATCACAAGAATCGCTGCATCCTCTGTAAGTTAGTTCCCCCAAGAACTGCTGTGGACTGGTTACCCCACCATTCAGTGCTGCTTTCTTTGGAATCCCTTCCAGCCCCATCTCGAGATGGTTTGGGGCACTCCCTTGTGAGAACTCCCCTGCTCTGCTGCAGCTCTTGGGGTGACTCTAGCCAGGGGTATAGCAGGATAAAACAACTATAAAACATTCCTTAGAGAAATTTCAAAAGACCCAAGTAAGTGGGGAGAAATACCATGTTCATGGATCAGAAGACTCAATATTATTAAAATACTGATGCTTCTAAAATTAATCTATAAATCAATGCCATTACAACTGATTGACCAATTGATTCTAGAAATCAGAGGGAAATGGCAAGGATACAGAAGAGTCAAACCAACTTTGAGAAGGAAGAATAGTCTGTGGCCATACCGCCCTGAACGCACCCGACCTCATCTGAAAAGGAAGAATAACGCTGGGACTTACACTACCTGACTTCAGGACTTACGAGCAATAGGAATCGAGGCAGTGTGGTATTGGTATAAAGAGACAAACTGATCCACGGAAAGAACAGAGTCCAGAGTCAGATCCCCACGTATATAGCCAATTAATTCGTCTTTGTAAAAAATCTACTTCCTTGAGATATAAAATATATGATAAAGTAACCCATCTCCAGTGTACGGTTTGAAGAGTTTTGACAATTGTAACCATCACCACAATGATCATATTCAACAAATTTAAAGGGACAGAAAGTGATGGGGGGGCTTGTCATAAGACTGAAAGCAAACAGGAAGAAGGAACTCGGCTGTATTTAAAATGAAAAATAACCACGCTGGAGGTGGGCACGGAGAAAAACCAATCGAGGAATCAGTGCACCTCCAGTCGCGGTGGGGGAGCGGAGAACCGCAAACAAATCCCAACCCCTTTAGAGTGGATTTGTTTTTGCAATCACAGAAGCAAAGCATTTCTGAAACTATTTAATGTGTATCTTATTATCGAGCAAACGTGTAAACACTGATACCGTTGGGAGCCGGAATTCTTACGGTGCAAGACCAAACATACAGATGTGGAATGGAGGGAGCCCAAAAGAACCTGTGGAGACAGAATGGAATCAGTGGTATAGGTATGGCTCTGATTTCTCAGAGACGTACATGAATATGTATGTGCATGTGTACATTGTACATGTATGTGTATGCATGTAGGCATGCCTGTGCTCCCTAGCTCTGTCCACAGAAAGGGCCTAAAAGCACAAACACTCCAATAGCAATGAGCACAGCTAGGCCGGGCATGGTGGCTCATGCCTATAATCCCAACACTCTGAGAGGCCAAGGCGAGAGGATTGCTCAAGGCCAGAAGTTTGAGACCAGCCTGAGCAAGAGGGAGACCACGTCTCTACCAAAAATAGAAAAATGAGCCGGGCGTGGTGGTGCACACCTGTAGTCCCAACTCCTCGGGAGGCTGAGGCAGGAGGACCGTGTGACCCCAGGAATTTGAGGTTGCAGTGAGCTATGATCCTGCCACTGCACTCTAGCCTTGGCAATAGAGTGAGACCCTGTCTCACACACACACACAAAAAGCGCACACCTGGTACCTAGATGTTGGTCTCTAAAGCCATTCCCCACCAAAGGGAGCCAAAACCCCTCAGAGAAATGGCTGATTCCAGAGGCCCAAGAGGACACCTTGTGCCTAGAAGTAAGGAAGTGCTCAAACAGGGCATATTGCAAGAATAGAGCAAGCGACAGGGTTTCCACTGGTCAGATCTTGTAAAAGTTGGATGCCAGACTAATTAAAGACTAGAATGACTCATAAAGCACGGAAGTAGCAATCCACACGAGCATACCAACAATAAATGATATACGAACATGGATGAATAAGGCACACCAATAATAAGCAGATAAACAAACACTTCCACGGAGTGCCAGGTGCGGCCTGGTGGACAGGGGGCCCAGGCTGGCATCGGAATCCTGTTCTCCGCCCCCGTGAAGGCCCGTCTCGGCAGGACTCACCGCGGTGCCGTGCCCGGGAGATCTCAGGAGGAGGAGGGTCTCCTGGTCGAAGTGTCTGTGCACAAATGTTTACCAGCTGCAGACGGAAAACCAGCAGCAACTGGGGGCAGCGACCCTGCAGCACTTAAGGTTTCATAAGCAACCTGCTCTCAAAAAGCTCAGGAAAAAAAATTTTTTTTAAGGGACAGAGATTGCTCTGTCGCCAGGCTGGAGTGCAGCGGCGTCATCACAGATGCGATCACAACGCACTGCAGCCTCGAGCTCCTGACTCAAGCGATTCTCCTGCTTCGGTCGCCTGAGCAGTGGGGACTGGGACTACCTGTGCACGTGTATACCTGTGTGTGCACAGGTGTATGTGCACACGTATACACGTGCACGCGTGTGTGCACTCAGACACTGGCACCCAGTCCTCTGTGCTGTCTCTAGGGCCTGGCAGGGTCACACGCACTTTGGGTGCTTTATAAACGCATGTCCTATGAGGTGTGACACCACCAAACTGTCCCTTAACCGCAGCACCTGGGTAAAAGCAGGCTATGGAAATAATCGCGTATCACCAGATAATGGGTAAGAAAACATTTACAAAATTTTATTCTGATTCTTTTTTTTTGAGGTTCCAATTGACATGTTATTGCCTTATTCTTTTTTATTCCTCATTCCTTTCTGAACATGTTTATCTCCTAAGATTTAATCTGTGATGGAAATGACAGGCCTGTGAACACAGAGGTTGCGGTGGAAGCCGGGGCTGGGGGGGGCGGGGCGCCGTCGCGGGGTTTACATCGTGGTCTCCTCCGCGCAGGCGCCGCCGCAGGTGCGTCAGGAGGCCCACAGGCACCGAGCAAGTGGTGCCGCCAAAATGCAGCTCCAGTGGGCGGGCAGGACGTGGCAAAGGTCACCACGCGTCCAGGGTGTCTGGATGGTCCCAGTCTGGACGATAAATGATCTTCTCACCACCCTGGGAACATGCGGGAAAGTCTGAGCAGGCCACTGTCACCCTGGGCTGTGAGCCCTGGGTGTGGCTGTGCATGGAGGCCCCAGCCCTGCTTGGTCAGGTGTATGTCAGGGGCATGTTCACTGTTGATTTGTTTCTCTGTTTTGCCCTAATTGTGCCCAAACACTGGCGGAGACCATGTTCTTGGAGGGATTTGGCTGCTGGAGGTCGGTCCTGGCTCTGCCCCTCAGGACGGCCTGGGAAGTCTCTCCAGGAGCACCAGCTTCGTCTGCAGGTCGATGTCAAAGGGAGGCAGTTTGGTCAGGTTCAGACTCACACCTGTGGTGCCCACAACGCTGGCCAGGACCCGGTGTGTGTCCCTGTAGAGGGCCAGGTGGCCAGGGACCGCCTCCATGAGGATGTGGGTGTAGCCCAGCATGGCCGCAGCCCCAGGCCACACATCTTCCCTCTTGTCGTACCTGCAAGAGAAGAGCCAGCTCGTCCCCGGCATTTGGGTGCCCCTAAGGGGACCTATACACAGCCTCTGAGAGGACCAACCACACCCGCAGCCACGCTGGCCGGAAACATACCTCCAGGCGCTGTTGACTTGCAGAAACCGAGACACACCCGTCTGGGCAGCAGCCGCGTCGATGTGCAGAAGGACACCTGAGAAAACCACACCTGCTCGCTCAGGACCCGGCGCCAGCGCCCGTCGGAGCTGCGGCTGGTCCCTGGGCGGCGTCCCCAGCACTGACCTGTCCAAGGGGGCACCAGCTCGTGCAGCCTCCGCATCGCGACACCTCCAGGGTAGTTGAAATGGGACACATAGAGGGATGCAGCCACGTAGGTGGCATTCAGCACGAGGTGTCCTAACACGAGCAGGGACCCCACTTTGTACAGCCAGGACTTTTTATAATTATTCAGCCTGAAAAAAGAATCATAGCTTTCCATAAAAAGAATACAGAGGCAATAAAGTATCTAATTATATCGAGACACACATTAGGAACATAAACCTGCTGTTCAACTTCACCAAGTCACAACACGCAAAAAAGTTAACGATCAAATACATATGATAAATGATTAATGAAGGTGGCTAAAATACTGCAAGAATTTTGTCTGTGAAATTCCATTCAAGACGCCAATTTAGAATTTATAGATTTTCAAAATTAATATTAGGTTATTAACACATTGACTGCCACACTAGAAAAAAAAATTTTTTTCCTTGGGGCCACAATGTTTTATTATGAAAATAGAATAAAAACTTTGAAAA